TGTTTTTTTTTTTAATTTATTTTTTATTTAGTAAATATAAATTTCCAAAGTACAGTTAATGGATTACAATGGCTCCCACCCCCCATAATTTCCCTCCCACTCACACCCCTCCCATCTCCTGCTCCCTCTCCCATTCCCATTCGCATGAGGATTCCGTTTTTCCAGTTATCTTTTATTTTCCCGAAGAATTGATTTAGGAAATTATTAAAGGTAAAGGAGTTCATCCGGTTTTGCCCCCACACAGAAACACAAAGTGTAAAATACTGTTTGAGTACTAGTTATAGCATTACTTCACATTGGACAACACACTAAGGACAGATCCCACATGAGAAGTAAGTACACAGTGACTCCTGTTGTTGACTTAACAATTTTTTTTTCATTTTCGATTCTCTTTATATACAGAAAATCAGTTTAGCATACATTAAGTAAAGATTTCAACAGTTTGCTCCCACACAGAAACATAAAGTGAAAAATACTGTTTGAGTACTAGTTATAGCATTAAATCTCAATGTACAGCACACTAAGGAAAAAGATCCTACATGTGCACAGTGACTCCTGTTGTTGACTTAACAAATTGACACTCTTGTTTATGGCCTCAGTAATCACCCTAGGCTCTTGTCATGAGCTGCCAAGGCTATGGAAGCCCCCTGAGTTCACTGACTCTGATCATATTTAGACAAGGCCATGGTCAAAGTGGAAGTTCTCTCCTTCCTTCAGAGAAAGGTACCTCCTTCTTTGATACCCGTTCTTTCCACTGGGATCTCACTCACGGAAATCTTTCATTTAGGTTGTTGGTTTTTTTTTTTTTTTTCTCCCCCAGAGTGTCTTGGCTTTCCATGCCTGAAATAGTCTCATGGGCTTTTCAGCCGGATCCGCATGTCTTAAGGGCTGATTCTGAGGCCAGAGTGCTGTTTAGGACATCTGCCATTCTATGGGTCTGCTGTGTATCTCACTTCCCATGTTGGATCGTTCTCTCCCTTTTTTATTCTATCAGCTAGTATTTGCAGACACTGTTCTCGTTTATGTGATCCCTTTGGTTCTTAGTCCTATCATTATGATCAATTGTGAACAGAAATTGATCACTGGGACTAGTGAGATGGCATTGGAACATGCCACCTTGATGGGATTGAATTGGAATTCCCTGGTATGTTTCTAACTACCGTTTGAGGTAAGTCAGCTTGAGCATGTCCCGAATTGCACATCTCTTCCCTCTCTTATTCCCACTCTTATATTTAACAGTGATCACTTTTTAGTTAAGTTTCAGCACTTAAGAAGAATTGTGTATTGATTACAGTATTCAACCAAAAGTATTAAGTAGAACAAACAAAAAAAATACTAAGAGGGATAACATATTAAGGTGCTCATCAGCAGTCAGGGTGAGGGCTGATCAAGTCACTGTTTCTCCTAGTGTTCATTTCACTTTAGCAGGTTTCCTTTTTGGTGCTCAGTTAGTTGTCACCTATCAGGGAGAACAAGTGGTATTTGTCCCTTTGGGATTGGCTTATTTCACTCAGCATAATGTTTTCCAAATTCCTAACAGGGATCACTTTTCAGTTAAAATTTAAACACCTAAGAATAATTGTGTGTTAATTATAGAGTTCAACCAATGGTACTAGAACAAAAAAATACTAAAATGGATAAAGTATTACATTGTACATGTTTTTTTTTATTTTTTAAAAATTTTAGCTCCCACATAAAAGGGAGACCATGCAGTATTTGTCTTTCTGTGTCCAACTTATTTCACTTACCATGATGTCTACCAGTTGCAGCCATTTTGATACAAATGATAGAATTCCATTCTTGTTTATGGTTGAATAATATTCTGTGTATATATTCTACATTTTATCTATTCTTCTGATGATGGACACCTTGAGTGATTCCATATTTTGGCTATTATAAATGGTGCTGTTGTAAACATGGCAGTGCAGGTATGTCTTTGATGCAATGTGTTCATGTCTTTTGGATAGATACCCAGTAGTGGGATTGCTGGATCAAATGGCAAGTCTATTTCTGGTTTTTAAGGAAATTTCCATACTGTCTTAAACAGCTATTGCACTAATTTATATTTCCTTCAACAGTGTGTAAGATTTCCCTTTATTCACATCCTTGTCAGTGTTTGTTGCTCTCAGTCTTTTGGATAAGAGTCATTCAGACAGGGGTGAGGTGATTATTATCTCATTTTAGTTTGGATTTGCATGTCCCTGATGAATAGTGATGTTGAGTATTCTTTCTTGTATTTGCTAGCCATTTATATTTCTTCTTTTGAGAACTGTCTGTGAGGTCCTTGGCCCTTTCTTAACTGCAATGGTTTGTTTTGTTGTTGTTGTTTTTTATTTCCTAATATATTCTGGATATTAATCCTTTGTTGGATAAGTAGCTTGAAAATGTTTTTTCCCATTCTGTTGGAAGTCTTTTCATTGTATTGATTGTTTCCTTTGCTGTGCAGAAGCTTCTGAAGTTGATATAATCCCATTTGTCTAGTTTTGCTTTTGTTGTCTGTGTTTGGGGATATTATCTAAGAAATCATCACCTACACCAATGTCTTGAAGTGTTTCCTCTACATTTTATTCTAGCAGCTTTATAGTCTCAGGTCTTAAATTTAAGTCTTTGGTCCATCTTGAATTGATTTTGTAAATGGTGAGAGGTAAGGATCTAATTTCATGTTATTACATATATACACCCAGTTTTTCCAGCACAATATATTGAATAAATTATCCTTTCTCCAAAGTATGGTGTGCACATTTTTGTCAAAAATCAGTCGGCTAGGGCCGGCGCCGCGGCTCAATAGGCTAATCCTCCGCCTAGCGGCGCCGGCACACCGGGTTCTAGTCCCGGTCGGGGCGCCGGATTCTGTCCCGGTTGCCCCTCTTCCAGGCCAGCCCTCTGCTGTGGCCAGGGAGTGCAGTGGAGGATGGCCCAGGTGCTTGGGCCCTGCACCCCATGGGAGACCAGGAAAAGCACCTGGCTCCTGGCTCCTGCCATCGGATCAGCGCGGTGCGCCGGCCGCGGCGGCCATTGGAGGGTGAACCAACGGCAAAGGAAGACCTTTCTCTCTGTCTCTCTCTCTCACTGTCCACTCTGCCTGTCAAAAAAAAAAAAAAAATCAGTCGGCTATATTTATGTGGATTAATTTCTGGGATCCGTTTTGCTTTATTGGTCTGTGTGTCAGTTTTTATGCTAGTTTTAATTACTATAGGTTTATAAAATGCTTTGAAGTCTGTTATTGTCTCTATTTTCTTTTTTTTTTTTTTGGTTAGGATCGCTTTGGCTATTCTTGGTCTTTTGTGATTCCATATGAATTTTATGATTTTTTAAAATAATTTTATAAAGAATGTCATTGGTATTTTGATAGGGATGGCATTGAATCTGTAGATTGCTTTAAGTAGTATAGTTATTTTAATTATTATAAACTGTGAACAAAGCATCTTTACATTTATTGTGTCTTTAATGATTTCTTTCATCAATATTTTATAATTTTTATTATAGAGATCTTTCATTTATTTCTAAATATTTGATACTTTGGGTGGCTATTGTGAACAGAATTTCTTTCTTTCTTGATTCCCCTTTTGGCAAGTTCATCATTGGCATATAAAATCTATTCTTTTTTATATGTTTATTTTGTAACCTAGAACTTTACTGAATATGTTTGTCAGCTCTAGAAGTTTTTTAAAAAGATTTATTTATTTATTTGAAATGTGTAGTTACAGAGAGGGAGAGACAAAGACAGAGATCTTCCATCCACTGGTTCACTCCCCAAATGGCCATAATGGCCAGGGCTGGCCAGACTGAAGCCAGGAGCCAGGTGTTCCGTCTGGGTCTGCCATGTGGGTGCAGAGGCCCAAGTGCTTGGGCCATCTTCCCAGCCTTCCCAGGCACATTAGCAGGAAGCTAGATAGGAAGTTGGGCAGTGGAGACTCCAGCTGGTACCCCATGGGATGCTGGCTCTGCGGCAACAGTGTAACTCATTATGCCACAGCACTGACCCCAGGTCTGACAGGTTTTTGGTGAAATGTGTAGGTTTTTCTATGTACAACATCATGTTATCTGCAAATGTGGATATTTTGTCTTCCTCCTTTCCAATTTGAAGCTTTTTATTTCTTTCTCCTCCGTAATTTCTCTAATACGTTCAATACTATATTGAATAAAAGTGGTGATAAGGAACATCCTTTTATTCCAGATATGAGGGGAAATGCTTTCAACTTTTCCCTGTGCAGCTTGTCATACATAGCCTTTATAATTTTGAGATTTTCCTTATATAGTGAATTTATGGAGGTGTTTTTTTTTTTATCATGAATGGATTTTGAATCTTTGCTTTATATCTTTGTCAAACAAATGAATTACATACTACTATAGTTTTAATCTGTGACTATTTTAAAATGAGAGTGAATTTGAATATATTTTCATTTGATTATTACTTATAGCTCTTGCCTATTTTCCTGCTAATCTATGGTCTTTTTACTTTTTATTTGTTGAACTCTTTATTTAGTGGAGTGTTAAGCCTTTGATTATAATGGAAATTAAATATATTTGATATGTAAAAAAGAAAAAAGTGTTTTACAACTTTTAAGTTGAAAAATTTTAAATTACAACAAATATCCTGGTTACTATGTTTATTTATAGGTTCCCAACTGAATATATATACCAAGCTACATATAGCAAATAAATGAAAATGCTTATTTTACCAATAATTTATAAAATGCCATAATATACCTAAAAGATGCAAAATAAAAAGATGTTTAGTGTTGAATATGGACTCAAATTTTATGATCTTAGTTTGTTCAGTACTGGCCAGAGTTCCTGTGAGGAGTAAATCAGATAGCGTTACCAAGTGATGTGCCTTTCACAGTATTTGATCCTTGGTGATCTCTTTCCTCTTTGTCATCTCCATCCATATCATTTTTAATCTATATGAAAAGAGAGCACAACAGGGTAAGAGAGAATGAAGCAGTCATATTGTACTTCAGTGAATATTTTATGTTTTCTTGTATTTTTACATTTAGGATACCTTATCATAGTCCTCACTGGACAGAAGTGGAAACATAAGAATTGGACCTGTTTTTTCTTCTTTGAGGTAAGTTCATTTGTAGAAAAATTAGTAAATTTTAAGCAGTCAGCTGCATCTTAGAAACTTTAACATTTGCACATATGCAGGGAAATATTGCAGAAATCTGAAATGCTGGTAGTGGGGAGTGGTGTCTCGGTGCATGGAGCTCCCTGCCAGGACCTGGGTCCCATTGCAGGTGCCCTCGGTGTTCTGGCCCCGGATCCCTGTTGCCTCTGTGCTTGTTTTTAAAGAGGGAATAACGATGAGGCTGTTTGTTCTACGTACCTCCTGGGTTACATGTTGTGAGAATAAATTGAGTTCATGGACCTGAAAGTGTTTTACTAGGAAAAATGTAAAGTAAAGGCATTAAAATTATGAGCTTTCATAATAAAATGAATGAAGATTAGCAGGTACCTGTAGGGGATCTTTCAAGCATGACATTTTTGACTGTTATTAAATCTGCTTCTACTGTAGCACCAGTAGGACAGGGTCATCTTGTTTCTGAGAACTTGGAAAACAATAAAGAGTAGGAAGAAGAAGAGGAAGAAGCAGCAGAGAAGGAAAGCAAGCCAAAGGCTTGGCCTTTTTTAGGACTACATGTATGTACAAGGAGAGACTTAAAGATGTTGTTCATCTGTAAGTGAATTGCCATTTAAAATCCATTTACAGCATTTTCAGTTATTAACTGAATAATTTATAGTTATTAATCTGCTTATATTATTTTTACATTCCTTGCTGTGGAAATAAGCCTAGTTTTGAATGTTTCCTTTTTCTCATTTTCAGCCATTCATCTATATACGTTGACATATGTGGTATGGTGCTTGGTAAAACAAAATGGGTGTTTCTTCTGTCTTCATTAATTTTTGTTTGTTTGTTTGGTCTTCTTTAAAAAATTAAATCTTAAAAAGATATTTTTTTGTTTGAAGGGGAGAGACTCTTTCACTCCCCAAATGCCCACAGTTGTTGGAGCTGGGCTGAGGCTGGGCTGGAGCAGAGCCAGGAACTCAGTCCTAGTCTCCTACGTGTGAGTGGCAGAGACTCAATTACTTGAGCCATCCCTGCTGCCTCCCAGGGTTTGCACTGGTAGGATGCTGGAGTCAGGAGCGAGAGCAGGGGACATCTTAACTGCTAGACTAAACACCTGCTGTTTTTCTTTTTTAATTTCCTTTATTTCTGTTGGTATTCTTCTTCTACCCACCAAGCACATGTCTTCTTATCTCTTTGGGCTGAATCTTTTTTTGCATATCTTCCTATTCTGTTAAAGGTGCTAGGACTATATTTGGAATTAATGTATTGTCCTCCCCCCGCCAAGTCACTATGTTTTGGGCAAGAAATACTGCTCATATAGTAGTAAAATTACCTTCTATCTTCGTATACTCTACTATTTAGTTATTTCCCCATTCCAATGTGGTGGTTGTTACTGTGCAGTGAGATAGTCTGGTGATCTTTTATCTAAAGTTGCAGCTATTATCTCTATATTTTAGTTTAGAAAAAATATGTTTTTCTCATGCAATTTACTATTCAGTTCCTTGCTTGTTGACCAATGCGGCTGCATTAGGGGCCTTTAATGATGACTGGCAACACGCCCTTTAGTCCTCAGAGCTAGGGCAACAGTTTTAATTCTCCTGATATCTACTTAGCCTGTAAATTATTGCTTGGCTGAATCATCTGGCAACCACTTTTGTACTTTTTATACTATTGCAAGTCATTTGAGAAATGTTTGAGAAATGTTTGTTACTTAGTAAACAACTTATTTAGTTATGCCTAGGAAGCACTTTGTTGGCTTCCACAAAAAACGGTGGTGAAGCCCAGAGAAACAGGTGTAGGGGACCTTCACCAATTACTTTTCTTTGAAGGTTTTTATTTAATTGATTCAAATTTCTTATGTATAGCTTTTAGGAATATAGTAGTTCTTCCCCCCATTCTTGCCCTCCCACCCCCACTCCCATCCTACCTCCTACTCCCTCTTCCATTCCATTCTTCATTAAGATTCATTTTAATTGACATTATAGACAGAAGGCCAACTCCATACTAAGTAGAGAGTTCAACAGTTTTTACCCACACAGACACACAAAGTATAAAGTACAGTTTGAAGATAAGTTTTACTGTTAATTCTCATAGAACACCTCATTAAGGACAGAGGTCCAACATCGGGAGTAAGTGCACAGTGACTCCTGTTGTTGATTTAGTAGTTAACACTCTTATTTCTAAAGTCAGTGACCACCTGAGGCTCTTTTTTTTTGAACAGGCAGAGTTTGACAGTGAGAGAGAGAGACAGAGAGAGAAAAGTCTTCCTTCTGTTGGTTCACCCCTAAAATGGCCACTACGGCTGGCGCACTGCAATGATCCGAAGCCAGGAGCTAGGTGCTTCCTCCTGGTCTCCCATGTGAGTTCAGGGCCCAAGCACTTGGGCCATCCTACACTGCCTTCCCGGGCCACAGCAGAGCTGGACTGGAAGAGGAGAAACTGGGACAGAATCTGGTGCCCCAACCGGGACTAGAACGTGGAGTACTGGCGCCAAAGGCGGAGGATTAGCTTAGTGAGCCGTGGCACCGGCCACCTGAGGCTCTTGACATGAGCTGCCAGGGCTATGGAAGCATTTTGAGTCTGCAAACTCAGGGCCACATGCAAAGTGGAAGTTCTCTCCTCCCTTCAGAGAAAAGTACATCCTTCTTTGATGGTCCCTTCTTTCCTCTGGGGTCTCACTCACAGAGATCCTTCATGCAGAACAGTTTTTGCCACTATGTATTGGCTTTCCATGCCTGAAATGTTCTCATGGTATTTTCAGTCAGATCTTCATGCCTTTTGGGTTGATTCTGAGGTCAGAGTGCTATTTAGGGCATTTGTCATTCTATGAGTCTGCTGTGTGGACTGCTTCCCATGTTTCACCAATTCCTTTTTTATGTACATAGTGAATGTGGGGTGTGGGAGAAGGGCCTAGTTTTATCATCTTCATCATCTAACACTCATATGGTCTGAAGCATTACCCCCGAGCCTGAAATGTCAGATTTGTAAAACCAGCACAGTGTTTCCTACATCGTGATTTGTTAGGATTAAACATGATAGCATATAGAAAGCACCTGGTGTGGACAGGGGCACAGTAAGTGCTCAGGGAATGAGTGTCATTGCTGACTTTGCCTCCCCTTTATTGTCACCACTGTTGTGATTATGTAGCAAAGTCTAAAGGTGGTTTTGAGCAGATGGGCTCCCTCAGAATGGAATCTGGTGTTGGTAAACGGCTGTTATTGAAGTAGATCACTAAGATAATTCATCTTAGTTAAGATGTAAAAGTCAAGACTCAGAGATGCAGCAACCTGATTGACCAAGATTACTGCAGACTTAGGAAATGGGTTAATTGGTCACTAATGAGCTGTGTTTTTTGGACTACTGTTTGATTTTATGAAACACACAGTTCAACTTTAGACTTACCTGTTTTCCAGAAGTAGGTAGTTATATTTAAACTCTTTTTCTTTTCAAACAAAAAGCAATAACCATTTTAAAAGAAAGAAGTCTATCTTTTCAATTTGTGTTTATTTTGTTTGGATAAGGTGACAAAAATCACTCTAAAATCAGGTCTTAAAAAACAAGTATATATAGTGATTAATCATCCAACTTCCTTTGGGGACACATACACACACACACACACACACACACACACAGATTTTATCTTCTTTCATTTCAAAATATGAGTGTACAAGCTACAGGAGTTGAATAACAACACATTGAATGTATTTTTGCTGGAAGTTACAGGGATGATTGAAATTACTTTTGCGTGAAAACTAAATGAAATCTTTTTATGTGAGAATACTAGGAAGTGTTTTCCATTGAGAAAATATTTTAGCTCTTTAATTTTCAGCATTTAGTTCATATGAGGTATAAGAACCCTGACTCAGTCAAAGTTTTTAATCATACAAAACTTATTTAAAATCATATATTCTGAATATAATACTTCAAAGTCCTTTAAAAAGAGTAGACATTTCCAAGTTTGTGAGCTTGTGAGGATTCTGTTTAGGAGATATGGCTAAACCAGCTAAGAATCTTGGTAAGAGTTGCCTAGAGTGTTTTGATTATTCTATCCAAAAAGGATTATTTCTATCATTTAAACACAGAACACAGGCCTTTAAGACACTAAAATATGTACATATAGGTGAGATTCCAAGATGGCAGATTACAGAATAACATACTGCACTAGCCAGGCTATAGTAAAAAAAAAAAAAAAAAAAAAAAAAAAGTGTAGGAAGTGCACTCTCAGGGGAGAATTGGATAGAAGACGACAGTGGCAATCCTGCAAGAGGAAGAGGAATACTGTGGACCTGTGTGGAGGGTGCAGACACGCAGCATGAACATGAACAGAATGTAGGACTTCAGTAGCAGAGAGCCAGAGCAGGCAGCAGCTTGGAGACAGAGGTGAGACTGGACTGCAGCAAACCATGGTGATATAGCTGGAGGGAGAGCATGGTGTGAATCCAGACTTGAGCCCTGGGGTCAGCAGGTGCCTGTAGACCCAGTGTAAATAGAGGGGACGCGTTTATCACAGTACTGGCAGCAGGGGCAGCTAAAGAGCAATATTCAGCCAGATTCTAGAGGAGGGAAAAATCTGCAGTACCACTCACTTTGAGCCTGCCTGGGAAGTGGCTGGGCACACATGTAGAACTGTAAGGTGCCCCCAGGCTCCCAGGATCAAGGTGCCAAGCCAGAGCTCGCTTGGGAACATCTGCCTCTCTGTTGCCTAGACAAAGGCTGACAGGCTGACAAAGCAGAGCAAAACCTCTGCACCAAGTGATGTGGAAGCCCTGTGTGCTGAGACTGTGGGGACCCTGTGATTTTTTTTTCTAAATATTTATTTATTTATTTATTTTAAAGTCAGAGTTACACAGAGAAGGAGAGGGAGAGGGAGAAAGAGAGAGAGAGAAAGAGAAGGAGGTCTTTAATCGTTGGTTCACTCCCCAGATGGCTGCAAGAGCCAGAGCTGCGCCGATCCGAAGCCAGGAGCTGGGAGCTTCTTCCAGGTCTCCCACGTGGGTGCAAGGGCCCAAGGACTTGGGCCATCTTCTTCTGCTTTCCCAGGCCATAGCAGAGAGCTGGATCGGAAGTGGAGCAGCCGGAACTCGAACCTGCGCCCATATGGGATGCTGGCACTGCAGGCGGTGGCTTTACCTGCTATGCCACAGCACCAGCCCCCCAAGGACTCGGTGATTATGTGAGAAGTGACAGACTGTAGCTGAGTCTCTGGGCAATCACTGGGTGTGGCTCTACATGCTTGAAGCTCCTTGGTTGCCTATGGCATATCATTGCAGTGGGAACTGTGCTCACAGTGAGGCCTGTGCAGATCATTTGTGTGGTTCATTTGGTAGTATGGATGAGTGTTGAACACACTGGGGGCTAACACCCAGGCATTGCTTAGCTCGGAGGAGAGTTGGAGAAGAGGTGATCACACCAACAGAGGTGACCATTCCTCCCTTTCTGTTAACAAAAGGAGATCTACATGCCCAACTTAGGTGTTACCTGGGATACTTGCTCCACCCTGGAACACTAACCAGAGCTCCCTGGCCACACCCACCACACACTTTTTGGTATTCACTGAAAGTGGAGACATTCCACAAAGCAACAGAGGCATAGCTCAAAGATAAAAGACATCAGAGGAGAAAAAACAATCAACTTCACAAATGCCTAAAAATAAATGCAGAAATTCAAGAAACAAAAATAAGACAAAATGACTCTACCAAAGGAACAAAAGAACATTTCAGAATGTGAAGATGAAGAGATTAAGGAAATGCCAGAAATGGAATTTAAAAAATCAATCGTGGAATTACTCTAAAGCAATCAGAAGAAAATCCATGACCTAAAGAAAACCACAATTGACATGAATGAAAACTGTTCCCATGAAATTGAGATTTTAAAGATAAATCAAAGTGAAATATTAGAAATAAATAATTCAATTGATCATATAAAAATGTGGTGGAAAAGCCTTAACAGCCAACTTGGCGAAGGAGAAGAAAGAATATCCAACCTAGAAGACAAATGTGAAAATATTACAGTCAGACCAAAAACAAGAAGAAAATACAAAACTTAAAAAGAGTGTTGGAGATTTATGGGATTCTATAAGACAAACCACATAAGCGTTTAGGAGTTCCTGAAGGTGTGAAAGAGAGAATGGATTAGAAGACCTATTTAGTGAAATAATTATAGAAAACTTCCCCAGTTTGGAGAAATAAAGGGACATCCAAGTAGAGGAAGCACATAGAACTAACACATATGGCCAGAAAAGATTTCACCATGAAACATTGTACTCAAACTTTCCGTAGTAAAACATAAAAAGAAAAGATTCTAAAATGTGCATGAGGGAAATACCTGATTACTTTCAGAGGATCTCCAGTTAGAATCAGAGCTGATTCTCATAAAAAACCCTGAAGACTAGAAGAGAATGGTAAGATAGAGTCCAAGTCTTAAAAGAAAAATCCCGTCAACCCAGAATACTGTACCCTGCAAAGTTCTCATTTATGAATGAAGGTGAAATAAGACCTTCCATAAGCAGTGGAAATTGAAAGAATTTCCTTAAAAAGATGCTTTCAGATGTCATACACAGAAACATAGAAAGATAGCTATGATTATGAAAGAACATGAAGGCAGAAAATCTCCCAGTAAAAGTACAAAAGGAATCCAAAGTAAACAATAGGAATATTTATGGAAAAATGTCAGGGCCAAGTTGTTACTTAGCAACAATCACCTTGAATGTAGATGGCCTCAATTCTGCAGTTAAAAGATTGCTGAATGGATTAAAAAACAATACCCATTTATTTGCTGCCTATAAGAAACACATCTTACCAACAAAGATACATGCAGACTGAAAGTGAAAGGATGGAAAAAGATATTCCATGCTAACGGAAAGCAAAAAAAAGGCAGGTGCTGCATCCTAATATCAAAACTGTTAAAAGAGATGAAGAAGGGCACTATGTAATGATTAAGGGTTCAATTCAACAGAAAGATACAGTAAGTACATACACACCCAATTACAGGGCTCCTGGCTATTTAAAAGAAATTTTAATGGATCTAAATTTAGGGAGGCACAGACTCCAATACAAAAGTAATGGGGGGCTAAAATTACCCACTCTCATCAATGGACAGATCAACTAGATAGAAAATCAACAAAGAAACAACAGAACTAATCAACACTATGGACCAAATGGACCTAACAGATACGTACAGAACTTTTTATCTCACAGTTGGAGAATACACATTCTTCTCATTAGTCCATGGGACTTTCTCTAGGATAGACTATATGCTAAGCTATAAAGGAAGTCTCAGCACAGTCTAAAAAAATTAAAATCATACCATGTATCTTCTTTGATCACAGTGGAATGAAATTGGAAATCAGCAACTCAAGAATCTCTAGATCATGTGCAAACATATAGAGACTGAACAACATGTTTCTGAATGTGCAGTGGGTAACAGAAGACGTCAAAAGAGAAATAAAAAAATTTCTGGAAATGAATGAAGGCAACAATACATCATAAAAAAACTTATGGGTACAGCAAAAGCAGTGTTCACAGGGAAGTTTGTGGCAATTGATGCCAACATAAAGAAATTGGAAAGGTACCAAATTAATGAGCTGTCAGTTCATATCAAGGACCTAGAAAAATAACAACAAACCAATCCCAAAATTAGGAGGAAAAAAATAATTAAAATTAGAGAAAAATCACAATTGAGAACATTTTTTGAAAAAATAAAATTGATAAACCATTGGCCCAACTAACCAAAAAGAAAAAGAAAAGAAAAAGAGGGAGAAGACCCAAAACAATAAAATCATGATGAAAAAGTAATTATAATAATAGGTGCCACAGAAATAAAAGGAATCATCAGAAATTACAACAAAGAGCTACATGCTAATAAAGTGGGTAACCTGGAAGAAATTGATAGATCTGTAGACCTGTCCAGTCTACCAAAATTGTGTCATGAAGACATGGAAAATCTAAACAGACCAATAGCTAAGACAGAAATCAGGAGTAAAGACCTCCAAACAAAGAAAAGCCCAATCAAAATACCAGCAGCATTCTTCACAGATCTAGAAAAAATGATGCTGAAATTAATATTGAAACACAAGAGACCCTGAATAACTAAAGCATTCTTAAACAACAACAACAAAAAAGCTGGAGATTCCATAGTACCTGATTTCAAGATATACTTCAGGCCAGGTATAATCAAAACAGCCTGGTACTGGCACAAAAACAGACATGTAGACCAATGGAAAGTGTAGAACCTCCAGAAATCAGTCCACACATCTATAATGAACTTATCTTTGACAAAGGAGCTAAAACCAATCTCTGGAGCAAGGACCGTATCTTCAACAGATGGTGCTGGGAAAACTGGGTCTCCATGTTTGGAAGTATGGAACTAGATCCCTACCTTACACCCTATACAACAATCCCTCAAAATAGATCAAAGACCTAAGTCCATGACCCAATACCATCAAATTACTAGAGAACATTGGGGAAACTCTGCAAGACATTGGCATAGTCGAAGACTTCTTGGAAAAGACCCCGGAAGCACAGACAATTGAAACCAAAATTAATGAATAGAATTACATCAAATTGAGAAGCTTTTGCACTACAAAAGAAACAGTCAGCAAGTGAAGAGGCCACAGACAGAATGGGAGAAATTATTTGCAAACTATGCAACTGATAAAGGGTTAACATCCAGAATCTATAAAGAGCTCAAGAGATTCAACAACAACAAAAGCCTTAAAGTCCCTTAGTTGTTTTTGATTGTTTGTTTGAAAGACAGAGTTAGGGAGAGACAAAAAGAGATCTTCCATCTCTTGGATCACTTCTCTCTCTCTCTCTCTCTTTTTTTTTTTTTTTTTTTTTGACAGGCAGAGTTAGTGAGAGAGAGAGAGACAGAGAGAAAGGTCTTCCTTTTCTGTTGGTTCACCCCCAAGTGGCAGCTACAGCCAGCACATTGCGGCTGGCGTGCTGCATTGATCCGAAGCCAGGAGCCAGGTGCTTCCTCCTGGTCTCCCATGCGGGTGCAGGGCCCAAGGACCTGGGCCATCCTCCACTGCCTTCCTGGGCCACAGCAGAGAACTGGCCTGGAAGAGGAGCAACCGGGAAAGCATCCAGCGCCCCAACCAGGACTAGAACCCGGGGTGCCAGTGCTGCAGGTGGAGGATTAGCCTAGTGAGCTGTGGCGCCGGCCTAGATCACTTCTAAAATGGCTGTGATGATTGGGGCTGGA